TTTAGTTTCATTGTGCACTCCCTAAAACTTATTGGGCTCAAGTCCTATATGTATTTTCAAACTATATTTATGCTTATAGATGTAGCGAAATAAGGTTTCACCGAGAGTGTAAGTACAATAATAATAACCTTGTGGCTTTCAGGGTCGCAAATTTCGATTTTTAGTTATATTTTAAAAAAGTACATAAGAGGTAGGTAGCTTGGGCGTGGCTTTGGTAGAAGGTAAAATGAGAAAAAAGATATGCTAATATGTTTTAGGTATGTCATGAAGAGAGTCAGAAGCAGTAAGAAATGTAATGAAAATAAACGTAGGAGAAAAGAAAGGAAAAGAGATGACTGGATGCGATTGAAAATGATACGAGGAGACAGCGAGTGTATGTGAGGACAATATACAGAGTGGGACCGAGTGGAAGTTTAGGATGAGGGTGACCGAATAGTTGGGATGAAGGCGAAGAAGAAGATTGGACAAAAATAAAATCTGGTAGCATAATATCATTTTATAAAATATCACCAAATTAATTAAAATCTAAGATATGATCTGTTATCTTTTTTACAGTCATTGTCACGAAGATAAATATACTTAGGACGAGTGTAATCAGAAACAGAGCTTTTGCGATTTTAAATATTTTGAATATATTGTCATAAAAAAGCATCTTAAGGACGTAAACTTGATTAATTTTCGACTCCTTAAATTAGTCTTCCCGAAACAAGTTAAAAATGGTAAAATTAAGTTTAAGATAAATAGAACGATTGACAGTCTGTATCGAGATAAAAATTATTTGAAATCTATTATTCACGAAAATGAAATTTCTTTTTTTGAATTATCTAATCTTAATTATTAATTATAATAGAAATATTATGCACCAAGGATATTACCGACAAATGCTTAACAAATAAAAAAAAAAAACACAGCAGAAAATGCAAACAAATGCAAAATAGGATTTTCATTTTTCGAGTATCTGGCATAAGAATCGAATTACAAAGGTACCTAATAAAACGTTTATTTTAAATCGACCTCTCTTCTTCAAAAAAAAAAAAAAAAAAAAAAAAAAAATACATTTTGCATTGAAATCCGTATACCAGTAAAGATTAGAGTGATATTTAATAGTGTTGTAAAATAATATTCGAACTTTTATTGAACACGGAAAATATCTGTTTCGCGTCTCTTGTATATAAAAACTGTGTACCGCATTTAAACTTGTTGATTAGTAATAAAATACCGCCGCGGTACAATGCAACTTTTATAATGTTGTTACAACAACAGCGAAAATAAACTTTGCGACGATAAAGATTTTCCCGTAACAAAAGTGGTACGTCGTGGTTTTAAGACCCCTCCCCCTCCACTCGGTAATTTGATCATTACTTTTTCTACAAAAAAAAAAAAAAAAAAAAAAACGGGGGGATTATTTTTTTTCCAACGTAGAATCTCGTCGAAACATCGATGCGGCGACGCGCGATCGCGAACCTAACCGCGTGCATCGAAACCCGGAAGTAAAAAATGTTACTTCGGCGTGAGAGGAATAAAGATAAAATTCCGCGCCTTTTCCGCCTTTGCCGTACGCTCGGCTCGACAATGTAATAATATTAGCGTAGTCGATGTAGTTGCGATTGTGACTTTTCGTTCGTATTATCCACTGATTGAATTCACCGTAGAGTTCGGTCGGTGTCGTACTATACGCGGTGCGGGGTTCAAAATCCCAACGAATTTACTTTTTTTTCAATTCCATCGCAGACCCATACGTTTTTACAATATTAATATATTCCGCTGTTTTGTTGTTTTGTTTTTTTTTCTTTCGGAATCCGTTTCGATCCGACTGCGGGATTTACGGACGCACTAACATCGTCTTTAATTATTAGCAACACTACTTCTTGTCGCAGAGGTTGGATGGGAGGATTCGAATTAGGGGTAGTTGTTTGTGTTTTTTTTTTTTTAAAACACAATTATACTGCAGCGGCATCGTTACCCGAGCCCGTGTCAAGTCTATATTATTACGGCCGTGATCGAAACGATGACGTATGGATTTTTATTAATTTTTTTTTTTTTTTTTTTTTTTTTTACCGCTGCGGACGTAATATTGTTATTATTATTGTTATTTTGCGCGTAGGGAGACGGCGGGGAGACAATTAACACTGTCGTCGTCGCAGTCGTCGCCGTCGTCGCCAATGCCGCCGCCTCACAGACGATGACCGGGTGACCCAGTCTGCCCAGGTAAAAACGATCGAAAACAGGCCTATACGGCGGCCGCGTCGACGGCGGCCGCGAGTTTTCCGGGCTCACGCTCGGCGGCGGGCGACGGGGCGGCGGGACGGCCGATCGATCCGCTCGGCATATACGCGCCGCGTAAAGCGCACGCCACTTGTGCCGGCGGCCGCTGCCGCGGGGGGGTTCGGTGGGGCCGGGGCGGCGCGGGCTGCGGGGCGAGAGCGGTCGTGGTATAGCGTGTACTATACTACTACGGCTACTACGACTACTACTACGGCTACTACGACTACTACGACTACTACTATTACTACTACGCGCAGTTGTATACGCTGACGGCGGCGGAATACGATTTACGCGCGCGAGACGGGGTGTGATGGACGACCCCGTACGACGGCGGCGGCGGCGGCGGCGGCGAAGGGAACGTTTTCAGGTGCGCGGCCGTCGCTGCCGACTCCCCCACCCCCCGCCCCCGGCCGCCGCCCGTTCCCGCGCGCGGCGCTACGCGCTTCCGCTCCGCCGCCACCTGCTGACCTATTGCGCGCGCACGCGCGCACGCGATACTATACACGCTCTGCCGCCCGTCCGCGGTTCGCGTAAATTCCCGGGTGCACACCGCCGCCGACGCCGCCCGGCTCCTCCCGTCGCTCCGCGCCGTTCCAGACGGCCGTACGGACAGACCGACCGGCGACCGACCGACCGGCCGTCCGCCCGCCCACCGACGAGACGCCGCGCGCTTGCATGCAGCATCATAATCGGCCCGCTCCCGCGGAGTGCGTTTCGCGAACGCATCCGCGCGGCACCGCGACGACGTTGTTGCGCTTCTCATCCGGCCCGCCGACAGCGTCCGCACGGGGCCGCGTATTACAAAATATTATGCGCCCGCCGTCGGGGCGATCGGGAGGTCGGGGGAGACATTTTCACTCGGCACGCCAGTGAAACGAACCGACGTTATTACCGGGGGAACGGATTTGTACGCGATTAAAACCCCCTAAAAAAAGCGGTTTAAACATTTTTCAAAATCGAAAAATGCATACGTAAAACGCGGTTTTAAAGTCACTTCTCCGACGGGTCCGGCCTATTAAACGCGATTTTCTAACATCGCGAAAACTTAATAACACCGAGTAATTTGTTTCACAACACGTGCGATTTTATTTAACCCCTCTACCGTTTGTAAATTTGTTTTCGGTATTTTTTTTCACGCTTTCAAATGCATATAAATCCGTCGAATGGTATCATAACGGTTGTCAAGGGCTCGCGTAATGGAAATTTTAACGGATTTGTAGATAAATACTCGACGCACAATTTCTTCATCAAAATTATACGTTTGAAATTTCAGACACTCACGGAATTCTTTTCTCCCTTTGCAAATTTCGTCACCAAATTCAAACAAACGTTACCCACCCCCCTGGGGGCTCACTACGAAAGACACTTTCAAACGTTTTTCGCCACGGCGTTAAAATTGAAAAACAAACAAAACCGACATAATATAGGTGTACACTTGACAGAAAACGTCATCGTGTCGCCACGGTAAAGTAACAAATTATGACATCGGTTGTAATGTTCCCCGCGGGTTCAATTTAAATGCAAGACGAAACGCCCCCCTCCCCTCAGTCACCGAAATAAATCCCGACGCTATACGTGCTCCCCAACGTCGGTATAAGTTTTATTATACGATAAAAACCGTTCTCTCCCTCCCTCCCTCTTCTTCGCAGATCTTGGTGCGCACAATATCGTGTTTACGATTTTTTCGACTGCTCGATTTTCGAGCTGCCCGACTTTGCAATAACACTGTTTTGTTTATTTGCTATTTTTTTTTTTTTTGTTTTTTCGATCGCGATTTATCACACGTTCGGGTATAGTCAAAATTACATTTATAATAATGCGCAAAATTATTGAAATATATAAAATCTTCGGGACTCGCGTTGACCGGAGTTCATTTTTTTTTCATTATACTCCGATACTCATGTTATTATAAAAGTCGGATGAACAATGGAAAACTCGTAAATAATAACAATTTCCGAACGAGGACGAATTTATCAAGGGTCCGTATAATATTGTATAGGTAGGAAATTAAATTATAGGTGCTGTTGGATTTCTCATTCGTGAACGCCGGTTTTGTTCACCGTTAATATTTTTTTATCATTTCAAATGTAGCGGTGGGTAGCGTAGGGTCAAAATTACTCTATACACAGCACTTAATAATAATATATCATCTAATGTGTTACTATATAATGATTGCAGTCAGTGGCTGCCCGAAGGATGTATATGACATTATAAGAATGTATATCACTTAATTCATAAAAAACCGTGTGGATGAGTCATGGTTCTTCAGAAATATAATAGAAATGATTATGTTTTTAAAAAACAAGTAACTAAAAGAATAATTTTTGATTACGGAAATTTGATCCCTACAACCGTTCACAACGATGATGAAATAGAAGAAATGTATGGTAAACTGAATCAAGTATTAGATATGACGAAAGCAGAAGAGAATATAATCTTAATAGGAGATTGGAATGCACAGTTGGTGGGATAAAAGACAGAAATATAGTAGATAGCAATAGACTTAGGAAAAGAAATGAAAGAGGAGAAAGGTTAATAGAATTTTGCACCGAATACAAACTAGTAATAGAAAACATAATTTTATATGATGAGGAATAACATTTAATGACCGTAGAGTTATATATAACCTATACAAAAAACAAGTGATTCAAATTAAACTAGATGGAGTAGAAGAAGTAGCAAAATAAAGTAAGGGCGAAAGGCAAGGATGCATTCTGTCCCCTATTTTGTTTAATATGTATATTGAAGAAGCTATAAAAGAAACAAAAGATGAAATACAAGTAGGAGTCAGAGTAGTGGGGAAAAATGTAATAGCACTTCGCTTTGCAGATGATAAGGGGTTTTGCACTGAGATAGAAGTCTTGCAAATATTGCATGATAAAACGTAAGATATTTTAGGAAATTACGAAATGAAATTAAACAAAAATAAAACCAAAGTTATGCCATGCAGCAAAGTAGATCAAAAGCGACTAAGTATAAATAGTAACATCGAACAAGTGCAAAGCTACTCCTATCTTGGCAGTAAAACAACTGAGGGCGATAAAAGCAAGTTAAATATGATATGTAGGATTGCATAGTAAAAAAGAGCATTCCAAAACAAAAACCGTTTACCAACTACAAACATTGTGGGACTAATCACAAAAAAAAACTTTCTGAAAATGTGTGTATGGAGTGTAATATTATACGGGTGCGAGACTTCGACAGTAAGCACAATCGAGAAGAAAAAATTAGAAGCTTTTGAAATGTGGTGTTACCGGAAGATGCTCAAAATTCCGTAGAGCAACAGAGTAAAAAATGAAGAAGTTTTGAGACGAATTAATCAAAAAAAAAAACAATTTTGGAAAATTTTAACAAATTTAAGGGATAATTTGATAGGGCATATATTGCACCATGGTAGTTTGTTGAAACTAATTATTGAAGGATATGTATATAGTAAAATCGGAAGAAGAAGACGAAGAATGAAATGTGTCACAAATAATGAAGAATATGGGTATGGAAAGTTACCAAGCTTTAAAGGAGCTGAGTTTTAACAGAAAAGCTTGGAAAGCTGTAGCTTGTAACCAATCAAAAGATTGAAAACCGAAAAAAATAAGTGAATAAAAAATAAGAGTGAAAATAATTTTTCTCTGTGAATATTTCAAATCGTTCTCATTTTATCGACAAGCCCGATAAAATTTATATTTTAAATTCTGAGTGGAGCGAAAAACCATAAGCGTTACATTGTGATGTTTTGTTTTCTGTCAACAGTTTATCTACCAACAATTTTGCTCCAATTTTCGATGATAACACTTTGTCTAAAAGGAAATCTGACTAGAGAGATACTTAAAAGGGGTCATTGTTTAATTTTTTCAGGAGTTTTTCCAATAAATAGGAAAACCGGGAAAATAAGTATGATATTAAACAATGATTTATCGTTGCTTACAGATATACACTAAATTACCTATAACAGTGGCTGCGCATGTCCCCATTATCCTAGAACAGCTTTTTATACCTATTTTTCGTTGAACCAGCAAGATATTCTGTGTCAACTATGAGTTTTCGACAAAAAGACCTATTAAAAACAAAGAGTTTTCTTATAGAATATATTTTGGATCAGGCCGATACAATTGGTGAGTCATATTTTATAAACTCTCGTAGGTAGTTTTTTTTTATTAAGGCCCGTCATATTTTTAATTTGAAAGTTCACGCCATCAAACATTTCTTACCGCTCGACTTATGATTACGGGCTCTACGGTTCTATTATAATATAAGGGGGTCAACATTTTCATATGTAATACACCTCGCGTTATGAATTCCTGAGCGGTAATATATTATTATTATTATGCCGACCACTATTATTATTATTTTTTAATTAATCGAATATAATAATAGAAATGTGAGCAATCGATCCGAATAAAAATCGATTGTAAATATTTCTGCTATAGTTGAACTTTGTACACTCTAATCGCTGTAAATTTCTTTTTAAAATTTTAGACTAGTTGGAGGGGATTGATAAATAAAGTATTCAAATCTATTATTGTATACAACAGATGACAGTTATCGGTGAAATATTGTATAATGCGGTGAACATATCAGATTCTGAGCGCAACGATGATTAATTTTTAATTTTTTTTTCCTTTCCGAACAATCCTCTTTTGCCAGTAATCTCTTGTTAAAAAATAAAAAAGAGAACAATTTTATTGCATTGTGGGTCTAGTCGGTGAATTTATTATGTCATTTTTTTTTTCATATTCTTTTTCTAATAATTGGCAAACCCGGGAAAAAACTGGAAAATTTATGGCATTGACGATTTTATAATTTCCAATTTTTGAGTCATTGATAGGCTTTTGACATTTTTGGGTCTTAAGTCTAAAACTGTATACAATTTTTGTATGAATAAAATTGTTCACCCAAATATAAATTCTTACAAACTTAATGTGATTTTCGTTTTAAATTGTACTCGGTAGTATTATTTAAAATAATATACAAAATGTCTCACGAAGATATACCCATTGCAATATTTCCGAGTACAAAAATTAATTTGAAGATGGCTATTTTATAAAGTTTATTTTTCTAAACATTTTTACGTATCAACTTTTTATTCTCATCAAATTTGCTATTTTTAAAATATTTTAAAGTTCAAAAAAATGTACCAATAATTATGCAGCAGGCTGTAATCGTATTCATTAATTGATTAGGAATTATTATTATGGTTAGTTGACTGTGCACATTTAGATTCTAAACGGAGCGAGGAATGTATTGGTTTTACAATGGTGTTTAATTTTTTTTTTTCTGTGAACAAATTTTCAACAACTTAGTGCTCTGATTTAAAAGTGTAGAACTTTTTCTGAATAGAAATCTGCTTATGGTAGTACTTAAGGGCGGTTATTTTTTTCATTTTCCAGGGATTTTCATAATGAAACCGGGAAAAATTTAAATGTAAAACCAAACGTATTATTTTTAAAACGTAAATATTACGGCTTTTCAATACATGTATAGCCGAACTTTGCTTATAATCGTTTTTCATTAACAACCGTTGCGTACATGTATATCAATTAAATAAATGTTTGTATCCTACCTTCCCAACTTCCCAACTATACAGTGGTATATCCATCAGCGGTATCAGTCCTTTTTTAAGTGTTTATGTGTGTTTGTGTGTATGTGGGTGAACGCGCATGTGTGCGTGTGTATTGTGTTCACGCCATGATGCAAAATGTCAAGTCACTATTATGATTTATTTTTGTATTCTTTTTTTTAGTATTTATTATTATTATTATATAATTTATTTGAATAGGTTTAAAAACTATTAAGTGTTATTATCATTTTCTTTAAAGCAGTTAAAGCCGGTTTGTTTTATGAAAAAAAAAAAGTCTGTCACTTCCTATAATTTATAGTATTATTAATGATCGTCGTTTTTTAAATGATATTATCGTTAAAAAATATTATAAAAATTAATCGTGAGTTAGCTGACGGTGTATTGTATAAGACATAACATTTTTATTAATGTTCGGGTAGTTATAAACGGATCATCGTTATTATTAAATGCGAAATATATCAATCGTTTTTTTTAAATTTCGAAATCAATCATTATCACTCCTGCCCCAGTGACGGTTGTATTATCTTAATTTTTAAAGGTGGGGCAGTTTTAAATACACGGAGGGAGTATATATGATTCAAACGAGCCCACCCTCTTATTACCTTCGATGAAAATTCATTACTAAAATCGGTACAGATATATATAAATTTGTTGTGGTTATCATGAAAAAATTGTCCATAACTCTTTCCGTTGTACATTTGTGAAACGCTCCCTAAATTTTTAAAATATTTATTCAAATACGAAAATTTACCAATACAACATTATATAATAACGATGTTGGCCAATTGTATACTTATATGAAAAAAAAAACCAAAAGGAAAGGGTGATTTCCAATCACCCGTCACCCCCTCCCTAATCTTTAATCATGAACTAATTTACGTTTCTTAACATAACCTTTAATAATTAAGATTGTGGTATATCATAATATACATTTTTTTTTAAATTAAATACGTTTAAGAAACAACATTTTAGGCTATTGGTATTACTTGTATGTTTTTTCCCACTTCTAAAAACTTGTTTTGAGATAATAGAAATGCTTCAAATCGTACCATAAAAGATGCAGATTTTTTTATTTAATAAACGACAGTAGATAAGTCCGTTTTATTGTTGTTGATTTCTGAGTTACCTTAGCAACTGTCAAATAGTAGTGGATGTCAGGGGAGGAGGCGATTCGAGAATCCTGCCCCCGGGTGATGAAGGTCTGAAATAATTACTGGAGAGAATAAACCCCACGACCTCTGTGGATTTGAAAATCGCTCCCCCCTCAGAACTAGGATATATCAGCCACTGCTATCAGAGAAACAAAAATATGAATGTCAGGTACCATTTACCAGATACATCCTCACTCATTTACAAAGCTCCGTTAAGAGTCTTTTTTTTTTCTTTCTAATTGAAATGATTTATCGCTGCGTTCAATATGTTATGTACACTAAATTTCCCTATATTCCGATACCAGAGTATCTGGTGTAAGTTTATCCAGCATTTTATAAGTGATTTTTCTAAACTATTATCCAATCGTTATACTATCCAACATTAATTATTGTGATGATGATGGTTTTTTAACCAAAACAAACTGTTTTTAAATGTTCTGAAACAATAATCACATAATAATATTTTGTAATAATAAATTATTATTATTATTATTATGAAGTGTCGACTTCGACCAAAACAATTGTGGTACTAGTAATGTGTAACCATATTTTTCAAAACTTTTATAATAGTATAGTAAAATTATGATTTCAGTTGAAGTTTATTCTGCGCAGCCTTCATCGCGATATCAAATTAATTATGTTTTCGTATTTTATTACTAGATTATAAATTATAATCATAATTACTACATTTCTGTGTACCATGTTATGGTTTATAATTCACAATTATCATATTATAATATATATGTCGGAAAAATTGTAGGTTCTGAATGTTTAACCAATTTTAAAGTATAATATAAGTTTGTTTGCATAAATCGCGTAAATATATTTTTTTAATGCATTATAGTAGGTAGTAAAAAAATGAATTTTAATGCGTAATTTCACCTTGACGCGAGGTTCACAAAAACATATGAGTTTTTTTAAAAATTTCTTTCTCTCACATCAAAAAGGAAGTCTAAAAATTTTAAGTTCATACAGGTATAATTTTAACTACAATAATATTCAACACAAATTGTTTATTAATTATTTTTTCTTAATTTTGCATATTTATTTGAGAAAATTATTGCTATAACAAAAAATGCATACTAAATGTATACTAATTTATAATATTATAAAGTTTTCCACGAAAATATACCCATTATATTATCTCTGGAAATAATAAAGATAATCAAATTCTGTTTTTTTTTTTTTTTTTATTATTATTACTTACAGGAAAAAGTACTACGAATATTTAATATTTCAATTAATTTTGTATATTTGAGTAAAAAAATAACTATTTTATTAAAAATTTGAAGACAGTCATTTTATAGAGTTTATTCGGAGGGCTATACAAATCCGAAATGTAATATTCCGGAAAAATATCAATGGTTTCTAAAAATTTTTCATGAGTGTTTATCAATCCGGGTAATTCAATTCCAGAAAATTATGGCATCCCATATAATCATTTATTTTCTAATGCGGTAGACGAATGGTATCAATATTGTTATCACGAAAAAGTCAATAGCAATTTTGCCAAAGATAATGTCTATGTATTTTGCCAGAAAAGAGATAAAGTTATACTAAACTCAAAACGGGAAAATGGAAGGATTAAAAATTCGGATAACAGGGCAAAATTGTCGGGGAGCCATCTGGGTTTTCTATTTATGCGGAAAACGGGTAGCGAAATAGGCAAGGGAAATAGTGTTTAAAATGTGAAACGATGTTCTCGTTTCGAAATATTTAAGAACCATTGTTTTCAACTTGATCCGGAATTCTGCATCGAAATATTACGGTCAGTGTTTTTGCGTTACGGATTATTGCAGTCCGG